AGTCTGAATGTAGGACAAGTCGGCGAGAGGTCCAGGTAGGGAAGGGGGGGGGAGCTCCGCACCAGTTCCATGCACATGCATCGGGATGCCTTCGAATGAAATACACAAGAGCTTACAAAATCAACTTTGTATATGCTGTAACATGTAGGCTGCGAGCTACACATACCAGAACTTGTCGAAGCGGAAAACACAGGCCTGTATTGCGTACCTTTCTGTTTAGAAATGGAGAGTGAGAGAGAGTGAGAGAGAGAGAGAGAGAGAGATAAGGGAGTTATGAAGCCTTGGGATTGAACTCGAGGATGTTGTAAGTGAAGCTCCCCACTTGCAGCCTAATGGAGTAGGGGTGTTTTGCCGCCGCCACCGCCACCACCACCACCACCACCACCACCACCACGGGCACCCCTGCTACCACCACGAAGCCGCCCGAGCTTCGCAAGCGGCAAGGAACGAAGGAGCCCAGGTAAAGCTGGCAGGTCAGGTGGTTCTAAGGAAGGGGAAGGTCACTGGCAGGGTTGCTGGGGGTAGTTTTTTTCAGGGCCCCTTAAAACGGTTTAGTAAGGGGGGAGGTCTAGGGTGGGGATTAGGCAGGGCGCGTGTAGGGGGGTATAGGGCTGCGTCCAGGTCCCCAGTTTTATCAGAGGAAACCAGGCGCAGACCCTATAGTAGGGTTTAGGGCCCAGCATAGGTTAGTTGATATAGGTTTAGGGACCCCTTTTTCGGGGTCGGCTGGGCTTAGGGTTTAGGGTAGGCTAGGTTAGGATCGACAACGACGACGACGAGCACGACGACCACGTCGATCATGACGACCGCGACCACGAGGATGACAACGACCACGACCACGAGGACGACCACGACGACGAAGACGAACCACCATGCACATGATCATTCCCCTGGCCATTCTCCGGCTGAATATATAAGTTAGGCCCCACGGCGGTGAGCCTACTATAGTGTTGTTGTGGGCAGTTCTGAGAGATAGAGAGAGAGAGAGAGAGGACAACCCCATGAGAGTTTTGTTTCAGCGGTTTTGCATCACCTAAAGTGTTAAACTTATGGAGAGCCCAAAGCTTCAAATTTATGGAGAGCCCGAGAGTCCTTGCGCCCGTGCCCGGGAGCCCGGGAGCCCGGGTGGTGCCCGGGAGCCCGGGTGGTGCCCGGGTGCCCGGTTGCCCGGGTGCCCGGCTGCGGTTAATAGACCCCCGCCTTTTCAAAGCCTTGATATTAGGTTCCCCATGAAACCCCTATTAAGGCGAAGGGTTTATTAATCACGGGTCTACAGTAATTAGTAAGCTATCATGATTTCATGCTTACGTAAGAACGAACCCGTGAGGGGATCTAGACCATGGGGATCTGGCAAAGGATAGGCCCTAATGATTTAGGGTTTGAGATTTAAGGGTTGAGGATCTAGGGTACACCCAAAATAAGGAGAACTTTTATTCAAAATTATGGCCTACTGGTGTTCAAGCGGATGTTTACATCTCTTGGAAAAGGCACCTAGTGTGGAGGCAATCTTGCACACTGGCGCAGTCTAGTTGCAATTCCTAGAGAACAGGGTTTGAAGAGATCCGAAACCGTTCGGAATCCTAAGCGTGATGACTGTCTGCCGAGGATAATCCTGGCATCATATTACATAGGCTTGTTAGGTCACGTGCCTTGATATTGGAAGTCGGGTCATGGATCTGAAAAAGATCCTCTCACACATCCCGTCGCCAGCAGGGTCAGGGTTTAGGGTTTGGGTTTAGGATGAACTGGACCATTGGCTTATTCAAGGTCTCGGAACTTCACAGCCATTGAGGTTCATGTGTGTTCAGGGCCCTGTTCCCTGTGAAGCAAACCCATTGAAAGCTCTTTTAACCGGTATTTAAAACCGGGTTCCGTTTCATTTTTAACTGTCCTTTCTGTTTGATTCACCATTATTGGTAACATAACCCTAAACTCAACCCGAATCCCCTGGACCCCAAACCCCAATTAGTAGATTCCATTTAATTTTACTTACAAAAAAGTGCATGTACACACACACACTTTTCAATCCTCCCTCTGGACTGAACGCTGATTTATTCAGTTCTCAAAATCTTCAGAGGTGATGGATATCAAGAGGATTTCGGCTTAGCCTCTTGCCATCTCCATTGATTCAGCAGTGCTGTTCAGGTGTGTTGGTTTGAACGTGTTCCTGTTAGGGGGTACCTCCACACGCACAGGGACTGGAGGCTTATCACACTGCATCAAACTGCTTCACTGCATGTCTGAAATTC